AATGGTTGAGCAAGGATGATTGCACGAAAATTTAGCTCCTATTCGTAGGGGTACTCTGGTCTGTGAGGGGGAAGAATGTGTGATATGAGTGTTTTATAAAAAAACTCATCTCCCGCAAGTTACTCGAGTACACTACCCCTGTAGTCGAGTAACTAATGTTCTTAAAAATTCAGATGATGAACAATACTTGAGTATTCAACTAGTGTACCCGTGTATTCACTATTTCACGAAAAAAAAAAAACTCGAGTATCTACCTCTTATACTCGATTACATAACTCACTCAATGATCAAATAAGGACAGATGGATGATATATTTTAGTATGAGGGAAAAGTTGTAATATTAATTTTTATCATATGCAAAAGAGTTAATCATCCCAGAATCATTAATTGTTTAATATAAATTTAAGGAAAATATTATTTGCACATGTATTTAGGATGAAAAGGGTCAGTGAGAGGGAAAAAAAATTGGAGGATACCAAGAAAAATGATTAAAAGGCATAATATATATGAGAATATAAAAATGTACAATATTACCTTAATTTTAATAGTGTTTTTCAAATGTACATACCAACGGATCAAAAAAAAATTATTGTTTTGAAATTTTTTTATACAATTTTTTTTTCGTATAGCCATGTATCATGGGAAGAGGAAAGATATATCTATAATTTTATATATCTTCATTATTCAATGGTTTTTGCATATAACTACTCTTTTGATCCTGGTATTAGGCCATTGTCCTTAAGTTTGATCTTCTTTTTACTAATTTAAAAAAAAAAGTAATACAAAAGTATTATTATTTTTAAAGTAAATTTTTTATATTACCAATAAAAGTTGACTAATTAACTAACAGCATCAAATAGTATCCACAAAAAGTTTAATGTTCAATTTTTATTCCTTGATTAGAGAGAATACTTATAATATTATCATGCCATTAATGAATTTTAATTCATTTTAGTTCTTATAGTTTTCATAAAATTTCGAGAGAATACTTATGATCACCACTAGGGGTGAAAGTGGGCTGGGCTAGGCCAAGCTTTGTCACGAAAAGCCCAAGCCTACGTCAAAAAATTTTAATTTGGCCTGGCCCAAGCCTGTTTCGAGTCTAGCTGTTAGCCGGCCTTGGCCCGTTTATAAAAGAAAACAAATGGCCTGGCCTAGCCAGTTAGTCTGTTAATTTTTAACTTCCAAGCAGAACCATGAATCAACTTTACAAAATACTCAAATTATGTTGCTAACAAAAAATCATAATTTCAACGTCCAAACAGAATCATGAATCACAATAAAACTCATACAATCTGCATTTAAGTCACTTTCAAAAACAAAATGCTCAAACTAAATAACATATATTTCATCAGATCCAACAAACAAATCCATACTATGTAAATTAAAATAACTACATGAATCCAACAAACACATATGATGCTTGTAGTAAGTATAACCTTTCCCTAAAACTTTTTAATATATTCATATACACAATCTAACATGTTGAGATCTTGGTTCCTTCTACATAAGAAATAAAGTCAAATTTCTATTGAAATATAGTCGAATATAATTAAGTTATAAATAATTACAATTGATTAAATTTATATCTTTTGTTTTTTCTTTAAGGCATACTTATTCTATTTTATTTTATTTAAAATAAATAATACAATATGGGCTGACCTGTAGGCTTAGAGGTCAGGCCTTGTGAAAGTGAGCCTACAGTTTTTTTATTAAACAAGCTTTTTCAAGGTCCAAACTCGACTTATTTTATGAAATATACTAAGTCAGGTCTGACCTGACGTAGGCCGAGTCGTAGACCCATGTAGGCTGACCCAGTTTCACCCCTAGTCACCACTTAAGTTTATATAAAACTTTAGGTTTGAACTTTGAACCTCATTTCTGATTTTTTAGTGTATAGCTAATGATCACTCCTCCAAAGCTTACAGAAATTTTTAATTGTGAGCATCGTATATATTATTCTAGTCATAAATATTGTATTTTTTTTTTTAAATGTAAGATTCAATTTCGTTCCAAATTATTAAATTTTCTAGCTGTTTTACTTAATAGATTTATTTATTAACCATTATGCAATAACTGTTCAGATATCGCATTTCCCTATTTTAAATTTCTTCTTTTGTCAAAAGGTATTATTATTTTGGGTTTGTTTTTTCTGATGTTACTTTAGATAACTTTATCTAATGTTCATCAAAACGACGTCGTTTTGGGACGGAAATCATGATATTTTTGTAATTTTAATTTATTTCAGGGTTATAATAGTCTTTATCACTCTAATTTTTTAATTTTTCAACCTCAAAACGACGTCGTTTCGATTAACATTAGATAAAGTTATCTAAAGTAACATCGGAAACTTTTTTCTCTATTATTTTTAATCAGAAAAGGTATAATGTTTTCAACTGGACAAGATCAGAAAATCTTATTATTCTCAATATGATCTAGTCACGGGCAAAAGAATCTAAATATTATAAATTAAATAAGAAATTAAGAATGAAAGTATAGCAATTAGTCGCACCTAAATTTAGCACATTAGGGTGCTAGATCGCGCGCAATTTGGGCGCGACTCACCTAGTTTTGACACATGACACAAAAAACTTCAAAATATCATAATTCAAATCAAGTAATTATTTTTTTTATTCCATGTAACTTTTTGAGATTTACGCAATGACATTTCATTGAAGAGGATTTGGTCAAACAAATTTGAATTTTTTTTTTGAGTTTGTGATATTTTATCAAAAAACTTCGGAAGCCATAACCTTTGACTCAGGTGTATGAATCAGGTACTTTTTTTTATTTCACGTAACTTTTGACAACTATGCATTGGCAAATCCTTGGGTCTAGATATTTTCCCAAAACAAGGTTTTTGTGCCCCGATTCATAATTTTTATCTTTGTGAATGATGTTATTTAAATTTTTACTTTTCAATACTAACAAATAATCTTCTAGGAATTTTTTTAGTGCGTAGATTTTAAAAAATTATATGGAATAAAAAAAATTACCTGATTTGGACACCCGAGTCAAAAGTTTCGAAAATTTTACGATCAAATTGTTAATTTTTCTATACCATGTGTCAACACTTGGTGAGTAGCGCCCAAATGATGTTGGGTATGATTCATACTTCGCATGCTGATGAAGGCCCTAGTTGTTGAGGTCAGCAGAAAGGCAACTGAGGTGATTTATTGTAATTTTCTTAGTAGTTTGGACTTGGGTCCATGAATAGCTGATGTTTGGTTTTCTAATCCTATTTATATTTTCCTTGTAAACCGAGTGACTTGTAACGAGTGGCGGTGGTGAAGTGAATAAAATACAGACAAGTTGGACATAGCCTAAATTGGGTGAACCAGAGTAAATCGCTATAGCTATTCTCTCTGTCTTTTCTCTTTTCGTTTGCGATTTACGTGATTGTCGATTTTCAACAAATGAAAAGCGACTCAACACCCTAATGCCTGATCAATTGCGCCCCATTCTAGCATGACAGGTTGCTATACATTCACAAATAAGTTATAAATTGCTATATTTTTTGAATTTTTTATTTAAGTAATAATATTTAAATATTTTTCGCACTAGTCATGTAAACGATTACAGTTGATAATTCAACCGTCTAACTAGTTTCTTAGTTTGGTCCGATTAAAATTAAGTAATAGGTCATAAATTGTTATAAATTTTAATATTTTATAAATGCTTCTTTTAATTTTGTTATATGGTATATAAGTTATTTTTATGAAAAATGCATATATCATGTTAAATGACAAATGAATAGTTATTATATTAAAAAATAAATAAATTATATAATATTAAAAAATGAGAAAACACATTATTTAACAAATTTAATTTGTCTTTTTAACATGATAAATGAATAGTTATTATGTTAAAAGAAATTATATAATATTAAAAAGTGAGAAAGCACGTTATTCAACAAATTTAATTTATTTTTCTTAACTTCGTTTTACTATTTTTATTTCGTTGTCTTTGACTGGTCGACTTATGATGATGAAACAGAGAGGAAAATTTTAACAAAATTGATTTTTGATTTGCATTGTCAGTCATGTCTTTTCAACTTTTCAGCGTGCAAACATGGGCTACCCTCCAAAATTTTTAGGCACAAATTTTTATTTTATATTTTATTTTTATCAATTACTGGAAAAGAATTCTCATGTTACATGAGAATTCTTTCTCCTACGAGAAAGACATCGAAATGTGTGCAATAATTTTTTTTATTTGTTTTTTAATGAGAGATGGGATCCATCACTTATTGTATTCATAGTAGGAGAATTATTTTCCCTACAACATAAGAAAAGAGGGACCTAATTCAATTCATGATATGATTATATGGTGACAAAGCTCTTTTTAACACGGTGCATTCTTAGATTTTTGAATTTCAGATCACTAATTAAATTTAAATAATTCCTTAAAAATTAATCTACATATTTAATTTTATTTTTCGCACAATTTTTCCTCATCATCCGTGTCTTAAGACATTTAATCACAAAAGTGGATTTGTTTTTCTCTCTATTGAGTTGAGAGAGAAAGGTTCACAAACTCTGACCAACGACTTGAGTTCCAAACTTACACTACCCGGAAAAGTGGAAATGGCTTAGAAATCCATTTTCACCTTTGACTTTTTGTATTTGCAGCCAACACTTAACGTTAAAGACTAAAACATTAAATACTATTATATTTTTCATAAACTTTGTCTCCATCAACTTTTTATATCATTTAAGATAAGTTTATATAAATTGTTTAAATATTTGTAGTGCAACTAATGTATCATGGAGAATTTGTGAAATTTCTCCTTGTGAATACATATTCAAAATTATTATTTTTCATATCATAAAATCTTATTTCTGTGATATGGGTCTGATGAAGCAGGAAACTGAGAGGAAAATACCCCTTCAATGGGGTGACTAGTTATTATATATTCACATTTAAAATTGATTTTCATTATGTACCTTAAAACTGGTGAGAGCTTAAAGATTAAAATTTTATTGTGAATGAAACCGCGTTTTTGGTTTTTTTCTCATTAAAATTTGTTTTTTCTTTTTTTGTTTTTGTCACCTCTTCTTTCCTTCTTCCTTCTCTCTCTCTCTTTCATTTTTTGGCCTTCAAAGCTCCCATTTTTGCATTTCTGTTTCCTTGATTAACCCCTCTATCTTCATTCCTCTTAAAGTTTGATTCTTTGTGGAGATTTTTCTTCTGATTCTTTGCTTTATAGCAATTTCTGATTAGTTTTGAGAGTATTTTTGCAATCCCTCCCCTTTATTTTTCTCTTTTCTAAGCTCAGAGATTGTTGTAAAGTTTCGTTCTTTCTGGGTTTTGTCACCTTGATTTTTTTCAACCCTGAAATTCTGCAAGGTGCTTGAAGTTGGTATTTTCATTGGCTTCAACCAGAAAGACAATCATTACTATGGTTTTGAAGGTTTCTCTCATTTTGGTTCTCCTTGTATTACATTCCTGCACTGTGGAAGCCATTTCTGGGAGTAACAATCACAATCACAATAGTCTCAGTAAGAATGGATCTTCTCTTGCTGCAATCAAGTTACCTGATTATCCAAGCTTCAATGTTGTTTCTTCTTCAACGGATACAGGGTGTAGCTTCTCAAAGTCAGAGAAATTTGGGCATTCTGGAGCTACCATGACATCAGATGAAGACACTGATGGTGATGATGGTGAAGAGGGGGAAGCTTTTCTAGCAGCAAAACAGCACAAGCAATCTTTGAAACTCCATTTGAAACACCACCCAGTTAGCAAAAATGCTGAACCTAAAAAATCTGTGGTTGATTTTTCACTGAGGGACTTGACAAGAATTCAGACCCTTCATAGAAGGGTCATAGAAAAGAAGAACCAAAACACCATTTCAAGGCTGCAGAAAGCACAGGAGCAATCAAAGAAGTCCTATAAGCCTGTAGTTGCTCCGGCAGCTCCACCGGAATATTTTGCCGGTGATTATTCAAGTCAGCTTGTGGCAACCTTGGAGTCAGGGGTCAGTCTCGGCTCTGGTGAGTACTTCATGGATGTGTTTGTTGGTACACCTCCTAAACATTTTTCTCTGATACTTGATACTGGTAGTGATCTTAACTGGATTCAATGTGTTCCTTGTTATGCTTGTTTTGAGCAAAATGGACCATATTACGATCCTAAAGAGTCTAGTTCTTTTAAGAATATAAGCTGTCATGATCCCCGGTGTCAATTAGTTTCATCCCCAGATCCTCCTCAACCTTGCAAGAGTGAGAATCAAAGTTGTCCATACTTCTATTGGTATGGTGATAGTTCCAATACAACTGGGGATTTTGCTCTTGAAACTTTCACAGTGAATCTTACAACACCTACTGGGAAGCCTGAGTTGAAGCTTGTTGAGAATGTTATGTTTGGTTGTGGTCATTGGAATAGAGGTCTATTTCATGGGGCTGCTGGATTGTTAGGCTTAGGGAGAGGGCCATTGTCATTTGCTTCTCAGCTTCAATCTCTTTATGGTCATTCCTTTTCCTATTGCCTTGTGGATAGGAATAGTGATTCAAGTGTTAGCAGCAAATTGATATTTGGTGAGGACAAGGAGCTTCTCAGCCACCCCAATTTGAATTTTACATCTTTTGTTGGTGGGAAAGAGAACCCTGTTGATACATTTTACTATGTCAAGATAAAATCTATAATGGTTGGTGGTGAGGTACTAAAGATACCAGAGGAGACTTGGCATTTGTCAGAAGAAGGTGCTGGTGGTACAATCATTGATTCTGGTACCACTCTAACTTATTTTGCTGAACCTGCTTATGGGATTATCAAGGAGGCATTCATGAAGAAAATTAAGGGGTATCCACTTGTTGATGGGTTTCCACCTCTAAAGCCATGTTATAATGTGTCTGGAATTGAAAAAATGGAGCTTCCTGAATTTGGGATCTTGTTTGAAGATGGTGCTGTGTGGGATTTCCCTGTAGAGAATTACTTTATTCAGATTGAACCTGATGATGTTGTTTGTTTGGCTATTTTGGGGACTCCTAGGTCTGCACTTTCAATAATTGGAAACTATCAGCAGCAAAATTTTCACATCTTGTATGATATGAAGAAATCCAGACTTGGCTATGCACCTATGAAGTGTGCTGATGTTTAACATCTTGTTAGGAATAAAAGGTGTATAGGATAATAGCTATGAACATGGCAGTTCTGGGGGTTATTTTATTTTTTTAGATTTTCCCATAGAAGGAAAGTGACTTATACAGAAGAAAGAAAAGAAAATTTAGGTTTTGTTTCTTCAGGTGATGTAGAACTAGGCATTACAAACACAAACATTTCATTGTTTTGTACACATTTAAATGCTTCAATTTTGAGTTCATTGTGTCTTTCAATTTTATATGATATTTCAAAAGGAAAATTGCTCCTTGCATACAAGAATCCTTGCTTCATTAACCAGTAATGGCAATGCTTTCTATACTGAGATTTTATTGAGTATGGCTTATACTTCGCATTCAGATAACAATTCTTGTTAGCGGGATATAGAGAAAGTCAATGGGTGCATGTGATTCTCATTGCCTCCATTATTTCTTCCCTTTTCTCTTTTTATTTTGCGATTGTGTGTATGTAATTAGTCTGTTCTAATATACTCCGGTCTCTAAATCAAGTAGGAACTAACATGTGATTTGTTGCTACATTTGTTTGCATTCTACTTTCTTGTGGACCATTCTCTTTAATGTATGTATTTTTATATACATAAATCCTCCTCCTTTTACTTGAATAAATAGTCAAATAGAATATGGTTGTTTCCCATATGTGACAACAATGTGTGTATTATTCAATGACTCATATGTTAGGTATGCCGCATAATTTTTTAACAATAACAAAGAAAATCGGCACACAAACAAAGACTATGTCAACTTTATTGTCAGGTGTCTCTATATCATATATATACATTTTGCAATCTTCTTTAGATTAGTGGCTCGTAATTTTTCTTTATAAGTATGTGCACAAAATTATTTATACAAAAATCATTTCCGTTTGAAAATTGAGATGTGATAATGATATTGGGAAGTGTAATTTTCTTTACTAGTCACCTATATACTTGTTATAAATTCGATTGGTCTTGTGTTTTATAAGGGGAATAATCTTTGACCACGAAACAACAGGGTAATGGTTGATCACACAGCATATGTAAGCAAACTAGTATTTTCAACTCCTAAGACACGCTTCACCATGAGTTTGAGAGAGTCAATATCAGTTAGGTGAAATAAAATTTAATGTAAAGTATGTATCTTAACTTACCCCTTTGTTCTCCAATGCATGTGAATCGGAAAATCTCAAAAAGTGAACGGCACATGCATGTAAGAAAAAATTTAGAAAAAAAGTTTGATTTGACTGACTGATCTGAGTATCTCGTTAGTGACACGATTTAAATTTCTCTCAGAATTTTTTAAAGAGATTTAAATCTGTCCTAGCCTTAATGAAATACAGATGATTAATTTTACCTAAACTTTTGTTTAGAAAAAAAAAAAAAAACTCTTAAGTTTTATATGCTCAAGAGGGAAGAATTTTCAAGAGGATTTTAATCACTAGGTTTATGAATTATCTCAAATGGAGAAAAAAAAAAATTATAGATACATCATACATTAATCAGGGGCGGCGCCTCGTGTATCAATAGACAGGCTTGGCCTCCCAAAGTCTTTCAAACTCTATGTGCTACATTCAAATTCTTCTTAATATTTTTTCTTTAAAGCATGGCCCCTAAAACACTAAAAAATTCTCCTTTCTTGCTCCGTCACTGCATATTATACACATAAGTACATAACTGCTGCATCATGTTACGTCATAGTTATATTATCAAATTATAACTTTCCACGCATCATGGTATTCATGTCTTCGGAATTCCCTATTAACCGAAAAAATAAATTTGGCATTAGGAACCTAGTAAATTTTGGGTAAATTATAGTTTCAAGATCTTGGTGTTCCGACCAGCCCAATCAACTGGTTTAAGAATGGAGGCCCAATATTATAAACCCATATGACCTCTGCTAAACCAGTATTGGTATGACAATGCTGCCTGATAGCACTGCGATATCAGTATTAGCATATCAGACATCCCAATATAAGACACATAAGGTCTTACATTGGAAGGTCCCCCTTTACTTTTTCCCGGCACAACATCATTGCATGCTGACATGCCTTACCCCAACAAGGCCAGGCTAGAGTGGCTCTGCCCTAAATCCTTTGATCTGGCTCTGTCTCCCACATTAATGGAGCTCAACCCTACTTATAAATACCCTTTCTCATCTTCACTAAGAACACACATGATACACTCCTTACACGAACTGTTATGCTTCTATTATAGAGAGCCACTATAGCCATATCATACATCCCCCCATTAACACTGCATCTGGGAAGCGCCCATAGAGCCTTGATTCATACCATTACTATTTAAGGACACCCTAAAGTGATATACTTTTCCCTCCTAGGAACACATACTCAGTTTTCTAGCATCTCACCCAGTTTAGTTGGATTTTTTTTTTCACAATTTTTGGCATTGTTAATAACTCTCGTGGCTTACCAGATGGAAAAAGCGAGAATTGAGTATTTACCAAATGGAAAACTTCTATATGTGTGTCAGTCCTCATTGGTTGATCCATTTACTTTGGCTTATGCAATATTTTATAAATAATTATTAAATTATAATTGTCACACCCTGTTCACGATCGGTCATGTTATCATTGTTTATGATATTAAGCGCAGTTACAATCACAACAAATTATTAAAAAATACGGTAAAACTTTTTCTTTTTAATACCGTTTTACGTTTATAAAATATCTGTATTCAACAGTTTCCAAAAGTATGATTGTAACTCAAAACTATTGTGGGACGATAAAAACTAGGGCTTAACATCATACACAGTCTATAAAAAGAATTGCTAAGTGGTTTCCATAAATCAACGAAGCAAAATACACCATTTGACGTTTTACATACTTGAGATACACTCAGATTTCCAAAATTGCAACTGGACTACTTGTCCATAAATTCATATCTTTTGATATGTTATCCTGATAGACATAGTTTATAAAATCAGACATCTCACAAGTCCCACACAGACTGTGGTCCCCTCAATGGGTCATTAGATACATAAAGGCTCTATGCCCAAATCTAAATATCCATACATCATGCCTATATGTCTACATCCCATGCATCTAACATAATTCATAATAAATACATCCATAATCCAGAAGCTCAAGTAATAACAATCCCGAGCATTATTACATACATCAATATAGTCTCAAAATACTCTAGCTAGGCATGTCAAAACACTACACATGCCATATAACAAATTAAAAGCATAACATAAACAGCAGGATTAATCCATTAATCCATAGCTGGGCCCTTGTCCCTAGAAGGTTCACTGCTACCCTGGGTACCTGAAATGATGTCTCCAAAAAAGGGTGAGATAACAACATCTCAGTAAGCTCAAAGTTCTTAGAGAAATCTCTAATCCCCTGAGCCCACTTTCTGCATGACAATTCATATATAAAGCATATATAACAAACATACATCATAAACATAGCATCATAACTCATCCTCTGGTTAACTATTCAAGGCTCTCCCCAAGAATAGCTAACTGACATGTCCAACATGCCTAGTGTGACTCCTAGGGTCAAGCCATAGGCAGTCTACATACCATGATCACTGATCAGGATCCTCACAACATACATCATCAGTGCATCATCATAACATCAATAATCATATAATATCTATATGAATGTGAATGAATGCACATATACAACATATCACATACTTTCATACAATTCAACCATAATGCCCACCATCATGGTGGAGCCACAAGAGAGATGAGAAACCAAAAACAGGAGCTTTCCTCAAGGAGCTTAGCACAAGCCCATACTCCAATATAAACATGTATGCTCCAAATCAATCCTCAAGTGCAAGGTTCTCTAGGCACACCTAGAGTAGGAACCATTCACATCATTAATTACATATTAATTAATCAAGTCATATCTAAGACTTAATCATTTAATGATTCTACTTTTCATACTCATATGCCAATAATATGCCCATTACAAGTCTAGACCATTTATTACATAATTAGATGTTTTTAGTGCATTATGAAATGTTAACTTGATACACAAGCAACCACAGAGTTCAAACACCGTACATAACCTTGGAACCACACTCTAGGGCCACTAAGTTAACTTAGATTATGTTTAACACTTCCAAGTCATAATATTCCCTCAAGGCCGAAAATGTATTCTAAGGCAGCCCTAGGTTAGATTTTCAATATGTAAGTTGATTCAAGCCTTGAGCATACATTAAACCCTAAATCATGCTTAAATATAATTTTTTGCACCTAAAATCCTAATTATCTCACACATGGCCGAATTGTATAGGGTATTATTCCTTAGGATTTTCTTTCATTTGATTACATGATCATGTGTCCATAAACTAGTCTTAAGCCTTGATAACTCTCCAAAAGAGTTATTTTGGGCTTAATTACAATGTTTTGATACTATGATTACATATAATTCTCTTGTTTTCATATGATTAATGCATAAATTCTATAATTTCATTGAGAATTATGTTAATTGTGAGTATTTGGATATAAATTTAGGTATTGGAAACATTTATATGCATTTGTTATTTTACTGCAGGACAATGCTATAGCATAGGGAAGCAGTGCTATAGCAGTGCAGCTGAGGTCATCAGTGTATATTGTTGACATCATCATCAGCAAGCTATGGATCCAAGCCCAATCTGATGGAAGAAGCTTCTGAACGTGTACGAAAAGATATGATTTAGATACACGCTCAAAATCATCAAGAAATCACAAGCTAATCTTCATCAAATCAATGATTACAAATCAGATTCAAATCTGAATTGCAAATCTAGAAAGAATTCGATGAGATATGCAACAACATATTCTGTCAGCATGACAGCAAAACAGAGTATTAATCTCAATCAATCACAAGGCAGATTTGAGTGACGATTTGCATGGAGAAGAAGAGATGATTGAAGCCCAGAATATGAAAGCTTATAAAGGAACGAACCCTACACAAAAAAGGACGGCTGGATATGTTTTAAGACACCCAATTGGAGGCAGTTTTAGAGAAAGAAAGTGGAGGAAACACTTGGAAGGAATTTGAGGTTTCGTTGAGAGAAATCTTGCGGATCAAAGGAGGGAGTTGAGGTTCAATTGAGAGATCATTGAACCCAGTAACTTGCTGCACTATTCCGGTGGCTGAGGAAAAATTGATGGTGGTGGAGCTCATTGTTGCTGCGAGAGCAGTGCTACAGCAACGTCCCTGCTTTCTTTACTTTAGCTTT